AAATGCTCTCTCCAAACAGTTCTTACAGTAAATGCGATATTTGCTGCCGTTTTCAAGCGATCTGAATCAGAACAGAGACAGTTTTTGAAGAGACGTTCAGGGCAAGCCCTGGTCTGATTGCAACCCGTGATTTTACAAAGTTTTCAATCACTGGGGAAAGTATCGGTCTAGCTGATGCAACCTAAACCATCATAAGATGCTCGAAGATCGTTAAATATGCAAACTCCTTATAAAGATTTAACTGAAAATCCCCAGTTCAGACTAATCGAAACAGCCCTATTAAGACCTTTTCATCTATTCAGTTTTTTCATGTAACTCAGACAAACTTCGTAATTTCGTCCTTAGTGTAAGTGTCATAGAAGCCCCACTAAGAAAAGAACAAGAAAGCTTATTATTCAAATAAAGCAAAAAGCAAGTTTTAAGCACGCAGAATCTGCTACGCAAAGCCTTTGAACTGAGTGAATGATAAATTTTACCCAAAGTGCGATTGATTGCTGCAATCAGCAGTTGAATATAATTTATTTATAACTTGCATGCCAGCCTGGATCAGTTCAGTGTAAATTTCTCGCAATCAGTCCCTTGACACAACGTTTCAAGTCGTGTGTTAATATCAAACAATTATGATGTTTTGATAACATTCCAGCCAAACATCACTTAGTCATTCTCGCATAGCAACATTCACACCTAATTCACATACACCCTATTCAAGCAGGTGACTTTTTGACCTTTGACACTGAGGGGCCCCCTGGACTTTAGAGCGTGTCTAGGCCCCAAACCAACTCCTAGATATGCATGTAGCCACAACAAAGCACTGTTTATTGATTGCGATGAGTCTGAATGGGGATCTAGAAGTTTGGACTCTTACCTCTGGAAGTGCAGCGTCATTCTCCACTAAGGGCACATCCAGATTATCCTTTTTCTCGGAAAATGGCTTTGTTAGAATCGTCATTTTTCCTTAGTTGATCTTTTCGGAATAATGCGCAAAAATCCACTGGACTTGGAACACAACCCAGATCAATAACAAAACGCCCTGCTGATACTGACACTGACAACTGACAATCCACCAAAACAAATACCTGTCCACCTGGCTGGCTGTTCTTCAGGGGCATTTGGCAACACGAAATTGGGGCCGATGTTTTTCCAGTTCTATTTATTGTTTACCGTCAAACTAGAGGCGCAGTACATATTAGCCGTTATACCAAAAAGTAACTCAAACTTTTCTCAATGGCTGAAGCAAATTAACTCGCAAGTGAACGCAGCTGGCGAACTGGGCGTGGCAACGCTACTGTTGTTTACCCACCCAACATAACCCAGTTTTTAGGTTAGCTGTCGTACTCATACTTGTTCTGAAGCGCCCTAATTGCCCGCGCTCTACCCCAATGTGAGATTGGGGCCCCTCCTTATCAACTATGGGCAAATATTCGAGCGACTCGGACAACGACAGGCGCTCCAATAAGTCTTTAAAAAACCGCTCTCGATACAGGTACGGCTATCGGGCTTATTCGCTTCCACTTGCATTAATTGTTTGCCCATCCAGAACATCCTCCAGTGATTCATCAGACTCCCGGAAGAACCGGCGGTCAGCAAAAAAGTCCCATCGCAGATCCAGAAGCAAGGAGCGCTACTCCAGGTCGGGGTAAGCAAATGGGCAAACGGCCAACGTGCTTATTTAAATGCCATACAGTTCGTACACTTCCAAGTCGCGGTCTCACCGAGCGGGGCGCTCCAGAGATCGCTACCGATCGAGGCGTTCGCGCTCCAAGTCCTACATCAAGGAGTACACTTCGAAGCCCAAGCGAAGCTCATCTTCCAGTTCATCTAGCAGCGACAGGAGCCGCACGAAGAAGAGGCCTGAAAAGAGTCAGTTGGCTGTTGAGTGTAAGCTGAAGTCTAATGGGGCAGATTTTCAGGCAAACCCAACAATAAGCCCAAACCTGTGGTCGTTGATGACGATGACGACTGCGTGATTGTTGATAGTGAAACCATCCAGCAAATCAACGAGGACAAGTTTGTGCCGAAGGCCTTCAGCTCCGGCAAGCCTGTGAAGAGCAACATAGTGATCGACCTGAATAAACAAACTATTAAAGTGCCCGAAGTGAACCGAGTGGAACCAGACAGCATCTTCCATCATGCGGTAAGCAGCTGGTTTACTCATTGGTGAGCTCTTGATGCTGATGGATGCGTTCTTTCAGTTGTTTGCCAGCCCAGAGGTTCGCTTGGAGAAGTGGATAAAGGAACTGTGCTCTTATCGCCAAAAGGCTCTTCAACAGGGCTGGAAGAACGAGTAAAGTGCCATTCAAGATCTGCAATTTTAGTTAGAAGGCAATGAGTCGCTTGTGGTGGCTGGTTCCTTTTGGGGCCTGTTTGCTTGCAGTGATTCTTACTGGGAATAAAACGCTGCTGGACATAAGCGAGCGAAGCTCCTGCCCGTTTTGCTACGGCGACGACTTCTGCTCGGCCCTTGAAAACGCCACGTTTCAATACAACAGCCTGCAGAAGGTTGCGTTTAATTTCGTGAGTGTGAAGAATGTGTTCTTTGCCCAGCTGGACGGTAGGGAGTTAGTGCTGAAAAAACTCGCGGACTGTGCAGTTTTTTCCCTGCTCAACCAGGACGTTTTCCGTGAGGCAAAGCCAAAGGCGATTAAGCAGGAAGATTTAGTGACGCTTCTAAGTGATAACCGCAGACACTTCCACACATGCAACCGGGCTACTGCTCAGCAGCTGATTCAAGCCATTCCCTCTAAAAACTCTAAAGAATTGGCCAATCTGTGGACATTGCTGAACGTGAATGTAGAGCCGCTTCTTTTGGAGGTTTTTCGGAAGGAGCACAAATGGCCGGTGCCCCATTTTTTCGGGTACTGCGGACGTTTGGCTGTCGAGGAAAATTGCGGGGTGCCGCTCAACGAAGTGCAGCTGCTGCACTGGAACCATCGAGCTCACATAGCGCTTCAACTGCTTCAAGCTGCTGATAAATTCACCAGTGGACATGAGGAGTTCAGGCTGTACCTGACCGACGTTTCGCCTGATAATGTGGCCGTCAACTTGCAGGATTTTAGCGTTGCTTTCGTCGATTTGGAGCATGGGATTTTGCAAGGGATTCACTCTGGTTTGTCCATACTCATTAAATTAAATTAATTAAATTAAACGCGTTCGGATTGATTTTTGGGCATTTTACAAACTTCCGCCTAAAAATTGCATGTTCGGTTGTGCGTGTTGCACAACGAACGAAACGCACATGTGAAGATTGGTTTTTAGACCAAAAATTTGACCAAGCTCTTCTGCTTTAAACTCTGAAATGATTTGGATAAATTCGCCTTATCTTTTTCCTTTGGAAAATAGTCAGAATGATGAAAATGCGCATTCAAGACAGAAACTTGAAATTCTGATTAAAAAAGCTTTAGTTTTAATGTATGTATACGAAATTGCAGTGCTTTACAATGTTCATTGATTTTGGGAGAATTCACATTTCTATCTAGAACGTGAACTTTTGTTTGTGTGCGCTTGTGTTTAAAATTAGTAAGTTGCCAGAAAAAAAAGCTGAAATTTTAAATGCTGATGAAGAAAACTTCTATTATTTCATGTGTCCGGTCAAAAAATCAATTTTCTATCATACGCGTTCGCCTTAAAATCCATCAAAAGCAAACCGCTTCAGACAACGAGCTGAAATACGCAATTTTATATAAAATCAAATAAAAAAATCCCATTTTTCCAAAAAACGGCTTCACCAATTGCAATGATTCAAAACTTCCGCGGTTCAAGTCGCAATAGCGCGCCATTCATCGGAAACACCTTGGATTTACACCGTTACTTCTGCTATTCCACAGACCAACCAGCAACTCTTGCCCACTATACCCAATACATGCCCGAAGAAGAATTCGCATTTTTCAGCGATTCAGTTTGCGCCAGCCGGATCAGCGACCATAACATCTATGCAGTATGCAGGGTGAGTGGCTGCATTTGACCAACCCTACCATTACTGTATGTCTTTTGCTTGCAGCTCTTCCTGTCGCCTGCTGCACCATGGCCCATGATGCTCGGAGGGCTGCTGCACTCACCCCAAGCGGCCCCAGAGCGGTTGTTTTCCCTTATAGAGCTCTGCGTTCATTCGCCTAACGAAATACCCCGCTTCTCTCTTAGCAGGACCATTCAACAGCTGCTGCGTGACCTGCTAAACGACGCTGGTTATTATAACTTGAAGAACGAATAGAGCGATTTTGAGTCTCCCCTGTAGTTTCCGAATCCAATTTGTCCTAATCCATCAAAGCAATGCGTAGGTGAGCCCTAATGGGATTAGGGAAGCCCTAAAGGCCCGCGCATATAAAGGGAGTTCTCCGCTAGTTTTCGCTTAGTGGTAGGAGTTTGTTGGCAAAATGGTGTTCAACTTCCGGGTGTTCAAAAAACAAGCCCCCAATGGGAAACTTACCATGTACTTGGGTAAGCGCGACTTTGTGGATCACATTTCCGGCGTGGAGCCCATAGGTGAGTGTTAATGTTTAGTTAAAGGAGGCTTTCCTCAATCCCTGGAGTTTTAGATGGGGTGGTCGTAATCGACGAAGAATACAAGGAGCGCAAAGTCTTCGGGCAAGTGGTGTGCAGCTTCCGCTACGGACGCGAAGAGGACGAGGTGATGGGCTTGAACTTCCAAAAGGATCTTTTCCTGGCTTCTGAGCAAGTGTATCCGCCGCCAGAGAAACATGAGACCTCAAAGTTGCAGGACAGGCTGGGGAAGAAGTTGGGAGAAAATTGCTTCCCTTTTCGATTCACCTTGCCCCCCAGCGCTCCCGCTTCTGTTACCCTCCAACCTGGTAATGAGCTGGACGTTTCATGCATGCGAAATTGAGTTTTGGCGGATTAGGGCAAGAGGACGATGGGCAGCCGTGCGGGGTCCACTACTACGTGAAGCTCTTTGTGGGGGAACACGAAACTGATCGAAGCCACAAGCGCAGCACCGTTTCAATGGCCATTAGGAAGATCCAGTACGCGCCCTCCAAACAAGGCCAACAGCCTTGCACAGTCGTGCGCAAGGACTTCATGCTGAGCCCTGGCGAGCTGGAACTCGAAGTGTCCCTAGACAAGCAAGTGGGTTCGGCGCTTTTGCTCCTTCCAGGAACTTAGCAGAAATTCTGCAGGTTTACCATCACGGCGAGAAGATTGCGGTGAATGTTTGCGTTCGCAACAACAGCAATAAGGTGGTGAAGAAGCTGAAGGCCATGGTGCAGCAAGGGGTGGATGTGGTGCTGTTCCAGAATGGCCAGTACCGCTCCACGGTGGCCAACATCGAAACCCAGTAAGGACGATGTAAGGCTTTAAAGGGGGCTGGAGTGTACCTGGGGGTTTTCCAGGGAAGGCTGCCCGATAAATCCGGGTTCCAGCTTGCAGAAGGTCATCTACTTGCTGCCCTTGCTGGCTTCCAATAAAGACCGCCGCGGCATCGCTTTGGACGGCCAGCTGAAGAAGTTGGACACCAACTTAGCGTCCACCACACTGTAAATCCCAGCCACTAAACTCAGAAATTTAACATTTCTAAGAAAATTTCGGGTTTCAGACTGGCCAGTCCGGATCAACGCGATGCCTTCGGCATCATTGTCTCCTACGCGGTTAAAGTGAAGCTCTATCTCGGGGCGCTGGGAGGAGAATTGGCTGCTGAGCTCCCGTTTGTCCTCATGCATCCCAAGGTAGGTTCCGATTTTTCCTGCCAAGCCCAGCAAATGCCATTTTCACTGCTCAGCCCAACTCCAAGCCGAAGCTGGTGCAGGCAGACAGTCAGGCCGAAGTGGAAATGTTCAGGCAAGACACCATCGAACCAGAACTCGACGCCGAACTTGACTAAGTTTGCCTGCAAAACGGGACGTAAATAAAACCGATAATCGGCCCTGTAAATGAAGTTCGCTTTTTATTTATAAAATCATATGCTATAATACGAAACTTTAATCTGAATGGTTGTATGCTCAGCTCAATAATACGAGTATTATACTTGAAGCTCCATAAACTGGTACAAAGTGGCACGAGCACCATTAATTGTGCCTATTTGACTAATGTTTTGCAAGAATGTGAATGATTCTGGCCGATTTACGTTAACAACCACACTTTAAGGACGGCTTGGGGCTTCAGCTGTTGTCCTCGGAAAGGAAATTTTGTGTTAAACTCTCGAGAACTACTCGAAGCGGTTTGGGTTGGTCTAAGAAGCTTGTTGAGTATTGGACCAGTTTTGCATTTTATATTGTGCGCGATTGTCTTTAAAATCTTTTAAAGTGCAACTACTGCAGGAAAAGGGCTGAAATTTGCAAATTAGGTAAAAGACGGTTCAGTTCTATTCAGTTCTAGTGTGTACCCAATAGCAGCTAATGCAGAATGGTAATTGATTTTTGAGAAATGTGCACACTTGTTTTAAAATTATAATTTTGTCTTTAAAACTTTGTAACTTTCAAACCACTACACTGAAATTTTGAAAAATAGGCTTCATTAGTAATGTCTACAAAACGCAGAAAACTTCAAGTTTTCATTGATTTTTGAGTAACTTGCTAACCCCCATCTTAAACCTGCATTTTCTATTACCCAAGTTTGTCTTTGAACATTCAGAAGTTGCAAACTACTGCAGATAAAAGACTGAAATTGGGAACTAGATAACAGAAGATTCATTTGCAGTGTGTACAAAGTGGCAGCAAATACATAATGCTCATTAATTTTTAAAAAATATCCAAAACTTTCGTATAAAAATTGCAATTTTCTTGTACCCGCTTGTCTTTAAAATACCATAGTTGCAAATTACGATAAAGATCTAAACTTTGAAAAAAATGGACTGTATTTATAACGTGTACGAAATGGCTGTAAATTTGAGAACTTTCATCAAAAACCTGCAATTTCCATTCCGTCGTTTGCCTTTAAAAACTCATCAATTGCAAGATAAGGGGTTGAAATTTGAAATTTTCGTGATTAAAAAAGTTCAATCTAAGAACTGTATTTCGAAGCTTGAGAAAACCAACCTTTCATTTGAGCATAAAACATCAGCAAATTTAAAAACTTGAGAAAACGACTTGGGCTGCTGCCCTCAGTAAGGAAAATAAGTAGCAAACCCTCAAGAGCTACGAGAATGAGTCAAAATTGGTCTAAAAAGCTTGTTGAGTATTAGAAACGCACTGTTTCGTGTCGAGGTTCGGAAACAATTCACATCCTTGACTATCTTAATTTAAGCCTTACCTAGAGAAAATAACTTACAAATATGTACAAAAATAAACAGAACGATATAAGTATGACCAGATATACAAATGTAAAGAAAAAATGCCAAAGATCGCCGGAACACAAGCCCGCTTAAACACAGGACAGGAATTTAGTCAAACGAAGAAAAAAATTAAAATGGGAACAATGGCAATCGTTGGCATTTCGCATGGAAGTCACTTAAACATAGTTATCTAACCACTCGCAATTGAACGAAGAAAAACCAAGAAAACACGCACACGCGATATATAACTAAATCGAAAAATTACCGCCATTGTTGGCCACAAACACGAACAACGCCTGGAAAATCTGCTAATTTACATGATTTATGCTTATTTTGTTTTCGGTAGAGGCCGGACGAGGTAGAGCTTTTCGCCCTGTTTGTTCGTGTAGATCGGTGCTCGTTGGTAGTGATCGACCAGCTGATCCAGCGTGTGGAACTTTCGTTGTCCGATGCAGTAAAGGGCGCCCTCGACGTGGACTCTAAAATGCTTGTTGCGCCCGGGTGCTTTCAACGACACTGAGTAATCTCCCACCTGAAAACAACCCAAAAAATCACCAATTTCCTAATGAAACCGCGATAATCACATACATTGGTTTCACTGTCTCTGATCAGAAAGTCCCCATCGTGCCCAAACTGATTCAGCAGCGAATCACATGCGTTTCTAGTGATCGGTCCGTAGTACCACGGTTTGTCGATTATGTGCGGCTTATCAATCATTGAGGCCTGAAAACATCGGCAACCTTTAAAGGGGAACAACCCTGGAAAAGTTGAATTACCTGAGAGCTAACCATGGAAGAATCCAGTCGTTCAGGCTTGCCAGAGTCTTGGAAGCCTCGTTTCAAGTACTCGGAGAGTTCAGAGAGATAATTCCTGGGCACAAGACCTATCTGGCCCTGGGAGTTTCTGGCCTTGTACCACTCAGGGTCACTAGGAGGCCTGTCCAGAATCTCCAGCCGATCCCCCTTTTCAAAAGACAGCTCCTGCTCATTGGTGGAGGAGAATGAGTAGAGAGCCACCACAATATCCAGCACATTTTCCGCCATTGCATAGGTATGCATCGTGTCATCAAGATCGCCTTCTTCTTGCGTGTAATTCGACGGAAACCAGCCGGTGATGTTGCTGCTTTGCCCGCGCCACCATCCTGAAAACTCTCGCAATTTAGTGGGTTGATTTGGGAATTTATGATCCGTTTACCATCGTTGCTCTTCTCCAGGATCAGAATCCTCGACCCTTTGACTAGGGAGAGCTCATCGGGCTGTTGCGCCTGGTAGTTGTACTTCACAACTGCAATTCCTATGGCTTCCGAAGGATCGGCTGCCGCCCGTCTAGCCATACTGGGAGATTCTACTGTGCGTGAAGGCGAATTGCTCGAAGGTAACGTTTTGGACCCCGAACCCTTTTTTACCTGCCAAAATAGCATGCGTTAAAACCAAAGAGGCCCGCTGGCTCTTGAGCGTTTGCACCTTCTTCTTAATACTGTCAAACAAGGAGGGCTTCTCTTTTTTCACATAGTTGCTCGGGACGTAGCCAGCTTGGTTACGGGAATTCTGCACTTTCCACCAGTGCTTCGAGTCGTCCAACAGCACATAACGCTCGTTTTTGCGCAGATCCAACTCCTGCGGCCCTTGATGCTCGTAGTCGTATTTGGCCACGACATAGCAGATGTCGTCCTGGCTAGTTTTGCCTGCAAACAGCGCAAAGTCGGGCTGAATCCCAGCTTACAGCCTTGCAAAGGCTCATGCCTAGCAGCCAATCACCTACCATATCGGTAACTGGGCGCTGCAGCCATTTGCTCAGGGGTGGGTTTTGATGCGTAACTAGCGTTCGATTGCCAAGGGCTGCCTGGTATTCCGCGCATAGACTGAGTCTCCAACATGACCACAAATCACAACACTACCAAGTGCTAGCCAACATACATGCCTCTATGCTATAACAAGGAAATCGTTTACGTCTCAAAGGCTACTTGGGAGGATTGGACGGTTTAATGCCATCACCACAGGGAGTTTAGTAGGGAAGCTCTTGGTTGATAGGCAGGATGTTGTGGGGTTTTCCTTGGGATCAATAATTGGCTAACTAGAAAGTTCTGAAAAAAATGTGTAAAACTCAGGACTTTGTGTGTTCAGTTTCTTAGCCGGACAAGTTTACAAGGCTGAATAGTTTAGCTGGTTTAAAGTCCCTATTATTTGTTAGCGTTCTTTGAGTGCAACTTGCATAGAACATTCGTACTCATCACTGCTACCCTTCTCGCTTCATTGACTTCTGCTTTGAAAAAGTCCAATGAGCTAACAAATCCTCCAATTCAGATTTTCTTAACCATTCATTGCTATTCTTGGCAGCATTTTTCGATCTCCTCTTTATGTGTCCTAAATAATGTAGTTTTATAATTGGGCCAATTCTTTTCAAACTTTTGAAAAATGTGCCGTCAAAAAAATCGTCAACGAACAACTAGGTCGAAACCAAATACAGAAATTCTACAGGGTGTAACCAAGACATCAAGCCACAAATAGACCAAATTTTCGCTCGAATGCAAAGACCGATTTTTAAGAGGACTAAGTCCTGGAGCTTAAAGTTGCATCATCAAACGCCAGCCCGCCTTAAAAAAAAATTTAAAAACCAACGGAACCGAATTGAAACTCAGAGCTTCTACAGGGTGTAGCGAAGACATCTACAGGGTGTAGAACAGAACTTCTACAGGGTGTAGCGAAGCAAATGGACAAAATTTCGCTTAAACCCAAGCAAATGCTGATGTTTGTAGGAGACAAACCCTGGAGCTTAAAGTTGCAGTTTTCATCAAACGCCAGCCCGTCTAAAAAAAATCTAAAAAACCAACGGAACCAAATTAAAACCCAGAGCTTCTACAAGGTCTAGCGAATACACCAAGCAGCAAATGGACAAAATTTCGGTCAAACCCAAGCAAATGCTGATTTTTTAAGAGACTAAACCCTGAACCTTAAAGTTGCAGTTTTCATTAAACGCCAGTCCGCGTTAAAAAAATTCTAAGAAAACAACAGAACCGAATTGAAACCCAGAGCTTCTACAGGGTGTAGCGAAGACATCAAGCAGCAAATGGACATTTCAGTCAAACCCAAGCAAATGCTGATTTTTGTACGAGACTAAACCCTGGAGCTTATAGTTGCAGTTTTCATCAAACGCCAGCCCGTTTAAAAAAAACTCTAAAAAACCAACGGAACCAAATTAAAACCCAGAGCTTCTACAAGGTCTAGCGAATACATCAAGCAGCAAATGGACAAAATTTCGGTCAAACCCAAGCAAATGCTGATTTTTTAAGATACTAAACCCTAGACCTTAAAGTTGCAGTTTTCATCAAACGCCAGTCCGTGTTAAAAAAATTCTAAGAAAACAACAGAACCGAATTGAAACCCAGAGCTTCTACAGGGTGTGGCAAAGACATCAAGCAGCAAATGGACAAAATTTCGCTCAAACCCAAGCAAATACTGATTTTCTAGGAGACTAAACCCTCGAGCTTAAAGTTGCAGTTTTCATCAAACGCCAGCCCGCTTTAAAAACAATTTTTAACAAACCTACGGAACCGAATTAAAACCCAGAGCTTCTACAAGATCTAGCGAAGACATCAAGCAGCAAATGGACAAAATTTCGCCGAAACCCAAGCAAATGCTAATTTTTTAAGAAACTAAACCCTTAAGCCTACTGTTGCAGTTTTCATCAGACGCCAGCCCGCCTTAAAAAAATTCTAAAAAACCAACGGAACCTAATTAAAACCCAGAGCTTCTACAAGGTCTAGCGAAGACATCGAGCAGCAAATGGACAAAATTTCGCTCAAACCCAAGCAAATACTGATTTTCTAGGAGACTAAACCCTGGAGCTTAAAGTTGCAGTTTTCATCAAACGCCAGCCCGCCTTAAAAACAATTCTAACAAACCTACGGAACCGAATTAAAACCCAGAGCTTCTACAAGGTCTAGCGAAGACATCAAGCAGCAAATGGACAAAATTTCGCTGAAACCCAAGCAAATGCTAATTTTTTAAGAAACTAAACCCTTAAGCTTACTGTTGCAGTTTTTATCAAACGCCAGCCCGCCTTAAAAAAAATCTAAAAAACCTACGGAACCGAATTAAAACCCAGAGCTTATACAGGGTCTAGCGAAGACATCAAGCAGCAAATGGACAAAATTTCGCTCAAACCCAAGCAAATCCTGATTTTTTAGGAGACCAAATCCTGGAACTTAAAGTTGCAGTTTTCTTCAGATTGACAAATTCATCTATTGCACTCAAGCTCGTCTAAATCCATGCCGAAAGCGGCTGTTGAAACGAAGCATAAGTCTGGATTATATTTTTTCCGCCAGGCTCCATTGTTTTTGTTGTTGACTTCTGTAATTAACTTTCCTTTTGCGTAAGCTATTTCCTTTTTCGTTGATACTATTCCAGTTCCTCGCATTGTTCTTTCAACCACATCTCCTAAGCCTTTTTCGATTTATTTAATCGTTTTGCGTAGTTTTATATGTATTCTTGATGATTCGCTCTTCCAATGGACCTCTGTTTATTCTGCCTAAGCATGTTTTTTTGAATTGCAGCTCTTGTATTCACTTGCTGTTTCGCTCTTTCTGTTGGATTTGTCTGTTTTATTCAAAATTGTTGGGAATTTAAAGGAATAAAACTTCGAATGAGTTTGATTGACCAACCTGAAGCAAGATTACTGGGTAATTTTGCTTAAAACTACAGAGGGGCAATTGCTGCGATGCATCTGGGGCTTTGCCTGAATGGAACCCAAGTAGTTAAACAAAAAAACCGTCGAACGGCAGTGATGCGGCCTCCACTGGACGAAAGTTTCGTTTCACAACAAACCATGTACCCCTGTATCTAACTACTGACTAGGGCTAATCTAGCAAATAGATTACAACGAAACAATTCCGGGAAACACTTAGGAATGATCATGCAAACTACATACACCGTAAACAAACAATTACTAAGCTTCCAAGAATGAATGTATGGCATTTTCTTGTACCCATAGGAAGAATGATCACCTGGGGGTGGGACCACTAGGTCTGCAGGCAGTAAAACGGCCGAGATTGAGCGCAACTTACCAGATTTTAGGCTAGACATGGTCCAGAATCCAACATAAGTGGGTAGAAGAGCCGCATAAATCGATGGGAACGGAACAGAGGGGCGGTTTTCCTTAATAAAAACAATTAAAAATCCCCTTTAAAACTCCGAAAAGGCTAAACATCACACTTCAATCAAACGAGCGAGCGGCTTGGGCACAGATGGCGCTCTTTGCCCTAGCTGGATTGAGGAATACTCTCCGGAGTATCGGGGTTTTACGCGTTGGCTCTGCTGGTGTGAGTGAGACAAAGTATTATGTAATTAATGAATTTAGTAATTGACTTCTAGTGCTGAGGGAAACTTGCGGCCTATTTTAATTAAGCTAAATTTTTCCAGAATTGAAAAAATTGAGGCCTTTGAAATAATTAAACCTAGGCCTTAAAACGTTGAAGAGCGAAATCAAGAGCGAGACAGAGATAACAATGGATGTCAGACACAAAAAAAAACACATGGTATGTGCCAGTAGACGCATCCAGGCACTTGATCGCCATCAAAGAACTGCAATCAATTTGCTATTATGAATCATGAGGTTGTGTTGATCGGGTAAAAAGCCGTTTATCCAGTCGTAGAATATTCCCAAGTCCTGTAAATAGCTGCTAAACCATCGCATTTAGTATCGGGACGCGTTCAAGCGCCGGCTTTTACCTCGTGTTTTAGTTGTCAAATTTCCGAAAAATGGCGGACCTGAGTAACAAGAGTCGTCTACAAAACTTCAAGAACAAAGGCAAAGATCAAGATGTAAGTATTAGCTCGATGATCTGGACGTTTTCAGGGGGCCCGCGGCTCTAGGGGGGCGTGTTAGCGAAGCCCTGCGCGTTGCGCATCCGTTGCTATCAATACGTGTTGGTCAGTGGCCATCACCTGGATCCACATTCTTCTGTAACATTTTTTCACTTGATCATTGTTATTTTTGGGGTTATTGCGTCGTTGTTCGTTTCAGGCCTATGTGGATGCTACCGGGACGAAATAGTGCCGTTTTTTGGGGCATTTTTTTAGGCCACCTACAAGTATGACAGGCCTTTATCAGCGACTGGTCTGGTTTACGTAGCGCTGCGGATTCGTTTAGGGCCCTTCCAAACCTGCCAGTGGGGGCCTTTAGCTGTCTTGTTCGGTTCAGTTTTCAATAGTCATCCTGGCTTTAAATTCTCCTTTTTCACTTACCGCCCTATTTGTCAAACGGGACAAATTGAAAAAATCACCCAGTTTTTATGGTCTTGGGTGTTCATTTAATTAATTAAAGTTGAATCATCGATCCTCTATAGAGTTCTGAATGTTGTCAATACTGTTTCACATTCTCTGGTCTTCCTCAACATTCTTCTACTGCTAACCTTTGGACCTAATTGCAGGAAATGCGAAGGCGGCGCAACGAAGTTACCATCGAACTTCGGAAAAACAAACGGGAAGAAACGCTACAGAAGCGTCGCAACGTGCCACTGATCGACTCGACTGACGAAGATGATGTCGACAAGAATCTTTCCAACATAAATTTGGAGCAATTGGTGGCCCAAGCTGCGGGAGCAGACAACCCGAACATCCAATTGGTCGCTGTTCAATCCGCAAGGAAGTTGCTATCTTCCGATCGAAACCCTCCAATAGATGCGCTGATCCAAAGCGGAATTTTGCCGATTTTAGTCACATGTTTAGAACGACACGACAACCCGCCCTTGCAATTCGAGGCTGCATGGGCCTTAACAAACATTGCCTCCGGTATGTGGTTTCAATATTCATTTTGAGGATGATTGAGGGTTTTTTTAAAACTTGTTTCAGGCACATCGGCTCAAACGAATAAAGTGGTTGCATCCGGAGCGGTTCCTCTGTTCCTTATGCTGCTGCATTCTCCTCATCAGAACGTGTGCGAACAAGCAGTATGGGCTTTGGGGAACATAATTGGAGATGGGCCAGTTTTACGAGACTATGTTATTGAATTGGGCGTTGTTCAACCGCTTTTGTCCTTTATAAAGCCCGAAATTCCCATCTCATTTCTCAGAAATGTTACGTGGGTGATTGTCAATCTATGTAGGAATAAAGACCCTGCGCCTCCAATCCGCACCATCGAAGAGCTGTTGCCAGCGCTCAGCGCATTGATACATCACTCGGATGTAAATGTAAGTTGTTTCTTCGTTCTGATTTTTCGCCTGGTTAAACTGAACAATTTGTTTGCAGATTTTAGTGGACACGGTGTGGGCTTTGAGCTATTTGACTGATGGTGGTAATGAGCAGATCCAGATGGTCATAGACAGTGGGGTTGTGCCCAAGCTGATTCCCCTCTTGAGCCACCGAGAAGTGAAAGTTCAAACTGCCGCTTTGAGGGCAGTCGGCAATATTGTGACAGGCACTGATGACCAAACGCAGGTACGGTTTGAAAAACAGCATTTCAAGCACAGTCGAGTTCTAATATCCATTTTTCAGGTGGTTTTGAATTGCGATGCCCTCTCTCACTTCCCTGCCTTGTTAACCCACCCGAAAGACAAGATTTGCAAAGAAGCTGTGTGGTTTTTGTCCAATATCACTGCCGGCAATCAACGTCAAGTTCAAGCCGTTATAAATGCCGGTAGGATATCCATTGATCTGTTGGAGCTGGGTTAAAAAAACTGCTGTTTTAGGGCTTCTGCCTAAAATCATCTATAACCTCAGCAAAGGCGACTTTCAGACTCAGAAGGAGGCAGCGTGGGCCATTTCGAATTTAACTATTGGCGGCAACAAGGAGCAGGTTGGTCGATTGATTCAAGACGGCGTCATACCGCCTTTCTGCGATTTGCTCAACTGTAAAGATGCTACAGTCATTCAAGTAAGTGCTGCTGTAACACATTCACTTTTTGCGCTCTTCATGCTCGAAAATGCACGATTTCGGTTCGGATTTTCACTGTTTTGTTTGCAAAACTTTCAATCGCCGATATAAAGCTTAGAAAGTTTCTAGTTTTGCGCAATTTGCCAGGTTAAATAAGCAAAGATTTGATCTCGGCCTGTAATCGCTTTTTTTGTTGCTTTTAGGTTGTTTTGGACGGCATAAACAACATGCTTAAAATGGCCGGACCTCAAGTAGAACAACTTTGCGCCATGATAGAGGAATGTAGCGGCTTGGATAAAATCGAAGCGCTCCAGAGCCATGACAATGTCGACATTTACAAGTTGGCCTATGAAATAATTGAGCAATATTTCAGCGGCGATGTAAGTAATCTTTTGTTTGTTCTTGCAGAGGAAAAAAGTTCTCGCAAAAAGCTCTGTCAGAAATTTACAGCAGTACATTTGATCGCTTCTCTAAATGTTATCATTAACTTTTCTTAAATATCTGTTGTTTGATGCGGAAATCTACTGATTGGAAAAATCTAAATCGTTTTCCTGACGATTTCTATTATCAATCCAGCGAAATGCTTGATAGCTTCGCTTTACTCACGCAGTTTTCATTGTTTACAAGAATGTTTGGACCGAACTGCGAGGGGCAGTTCGATGTTAATGGAACATTTTCTGGTACGAAAAGTTACCATTAATAAGTTGGAAAGTTTGGCGGAAGTTTCCAATGATTTTCCATGGCTGGTTCTTGGGTTTTTTCCATTAGGGACTCAGTGAAGGAGAATTTCACTTTTTCTATATTCTCATTTATATTTGGCAAAAAACAATTTGCTTGCAAAAATACGAGAAACTTTTCTCGACGACGTTTTTTGATAGGAGACTTTATTGAGGAGGCAAAAATGAAATGTCGAAATCAAGCAAAAATTTTAGTTTAGTTTATACCCAAACTTGGTCTAGTTTCCCTGGTTTTATTTGTATGATTTTTTCGTTGTCGTTTGAATGAGATTAATTATTCAATACAAGAAAAAATACAATTTTTTTTGCAATTTTAGATTTAATTTGTTAAAAAGTCTAAACCCGAAATGGCAAAAAAGCGAGGGTTTGTTCCCCCATTTCCATAATTTGTTAGTATATTACAATTTTATCATATGGTATATTGAAGCATTTATTGAAAAATTCAAACGTTTTTTCGCCTTATGAGTATATGCCGGCGATCTCCTATCAAATACGCTCAAAGAGAAAAAAACGACAACTTTAGATTTCTTGTCGCAAAAGTTTATTTTGTTGTTGTTTCATAGATTTTCAATCTAAAAAATATAAGAACCATAGAAAAATTGATTTTTCAAGTGATTTGTAGAATTTTTTCACAGTTTTTCACTTATTTTAACTCTTCAAAAAATTGAAGAACATGTACGGTTTTCTTCAATCAAACACACTTTTAAAAGGTTGAAGGTTGTGACCAGTTCAGTAGGAAAAAGATGCGCAAATGTATCGGAGAAAAAAGAACTAAAACTTCAATTTCCGTACAGTGTTCTAATTTTTGAAAAAACCAGAACAATTTGATTTTTCAAGTGTATTGAAGAATTGTGACATTTGTTGACGAATTTTTATCCAAAAAAGTGCTGAGTTTTATACTGATTTTAAGTTTAAAAATTGGAAGAACAATCTTCGGGTTTTCTCTATCAAACTTACTTGAAAAAAGCTTGGAAAGCTGGAATCTGGAGCCATTTAAATTAGAAAAAGTGGCTCAACTGTCTGAAAGAAGAAAGGAAGAACACGTTTCTCATGTCGAAAGTTGGACCTATTTAGAGTCCAAAGAAAAAAGTCTTGATGAGTATAAGAAAACTAAATAATTTTTAAATCTTTAAAAGAAAATGATGTTAAACTTTCCGTTTTCAAGGATATTAATCCAGTTTAATCAAGTTTGACTTAAATTCAGTTAAAAAGCGTATTGATTTCCAGGCTGAAGATGATCCGAGTTTGGTGCCAAGTGCAGCCGATGGTGAATTCAACTTTGATCCGAACACGAACGTGCCCAATGAGGGCTTTAAGTTTTGATCGGTTGGATTAGGCAACTCTTGCTTGACTACGACTCTTCCGCTTTTCTTGTTTGGTTTTGAAACATACTAGAACACGTCATGTACGTTCATTTCAACATGTACATATATTTCGGGGCAATTAATTTAATGCGAGATCTCATGAGTTTGACTAGCGAAATTTCCTTTGAATGCTTTTAGAAGTTTCATTCAGTTTCGTATTAATTGAACGCAAACGCGCGGCCATTGATTGTATATAGGCCGTTGTTTTTTTCTTACTATTTGACGTGAACGTACATTGCATTGAAAAGGACGGGAATGAGGCTTGGCTGATTGGCAGAAAATAATTTTCAATTGTAATTAATAATGACAATTTTCTTATTTGATTTCGCTGTAAGTGCTTTATATCTAGAGCTAATCAATAATAAAACGGTCATATCGGACGATAATATTGTTCTCAATTAACCTTTCACTAAATAATATGTTGGAAATCCTAGCGACTCGTCCTCCTTCTGTCTCCAGTTCTGTTCTATTTATGTGCACTACATCTACAGGGTGGTTTCTTAATGTTGCAAAACATTTTTATTAAATTCGAAATGATGGGTAAGTTTTTTTTGATTTTAACGATTTTTTGTTGCAATATTTCCCAAGCGCCCTGTACATTTATTTCAGTTATTTTTACCATAATTTTAGTTAATGCGATACCGAGCCCTTGAGGTATCTTTATTAGGATCTGTCAATATATTTATGATATATATACTTAGATTTATCTTTAGCCAACAATAAAAAAATTCGTACTACCCATTTCTTTATTTGTATCCTCTCTCCTTAATGATTCCTTGGGCAAAGACCGCACCACTAGGCTCGAAAAACCCTGTACAAAAAGGAATTGGACCTTTAAAATCGATTTATCACCGTGCCTCAATACACCGAAAGTTTTCCATTGCTTTTATACGGGAAAAACGTGTTAATTTGTTTACCCTTCTCAAAACCGGTTTAAATTTCGGATTTTCAATGTTGAGGCATTTTTTTCTTACTCATTTTGAGCTGCAGAATCCTCGAAAACCTTGAGAAATGACCCAAATCATTGACCTGAAACGACCATAATCATTCAATTTAGCTTTAAATTATTTGTTTTCATGTGTTTTGAGCTGATGAATCCAGCGGTGCGCTGAATTTTTTTTTTTGAATTTAGTGATAAAAAAAGCTATGTAGAAATCTGTATTAAAACTTGAAAATTTGGTAAAAAAGCCGATAATTTTCTTGCAACCTTAAAAGCCCTAAAAGAAAAATGTTTTGACTGCAAATTCTATAAAAATTGTGAAACATTCCGGCTGATATCGAAGAAGTTTTGCGCGACGGGAAAAAACGCCAACTTGTTCATTGGAATATGATCAAAATGTCCGTAAAAAGCCCATAAAAATATCATAAAGCACACACTTAGACAGATTTAACGATCGAACGAAACGAATTGTTCAAAAACCTTCTAAAAATTCTCCCAACATATTTGTGGTCAACAAATAATCAGATTGACTGAAATGTATTTTTGACCGAATCAAAATCACTTCGTTTCCAGGACAAAATCAAGGAAAATTTAATGTTTGCGGAAAAATCTTCTTGAAAATCGACGTTTGAAAAAAGACAGCAAAAGTGGACAATAAGAATTTTTGTAATTTAAAAAATTATTAATTCAAAGTATAACTTTGAAAAACTCATTGAGTTTAATGCAAATCTGTAGTGATTTTGAGCAAGGAATGTTTTCTAAATGGGAAAAAATACAGTTGAATATGAAAGATGCAATTGCAACGCTTTTGCGATTAAAAAAGCGCCAATTTGTTCAGTGCAGTATGATAAAAAAATTTTCTAATTTATTGTGAAAAAACGCATAAAAAATAATAAAGCAAACGCACATAATTAATTATGTTAACACACGCGTACAAGAAGAAAAATGATCAAAAACTGCTGCATTTTCAAGACGAAATCGAAGATTAACAAATATCGAACGACACGAACTGAAGAAAAAATGTTTTGTTCTTAACAAGTAAATAGACTTTAAAAAATGACAAAAATATGGCAATGAACTTTTGAGATATCGCAGGAAATGACAAAGGTGGACAGGCATTTATTCTTAATTTTAAAATTATTGATGTAAAAAAATGAATCAAAGAAAATATCAACAAAAAGCAAAATCCAGTTAGGAAGAAACCAATAAAAAACCCCGTCAGATTGTTTCAAATCGGTTGTGATTTCGAGAAAGCCCTGCGTAGCAATAAATGTCTTCTAAATGGGGAAAATACAGTTGAATATGAAAAATCGGGCAAATTGTTCTTAAAAAGCCTAAATAACAAATCATGAAAAAATATGCGCTCAACTGGATTCAGCAGCTCAAAACACATGAAAAAGTGTACAATTTAAAACAGAAAATGAAGAAGAAAAAAATTTGAACGATGCTTCGCGAAACTGATGATACAAATTGTTGATGTAAAAAAATGAATCAAAAAAGATAAACAAAAAGAAAAATCCAGTGAGGAAGAAACCAATAAAAAAACCCCGTCAGATTGTTTCAAATCGGTTGTGATTTTGAGAAAGCCCTGCGTAGCAAGAAATTTCTTCTAAATGGGGAAAATACATTTGAATATGAAAAAGCGTGCAAATTGTTCTTAAAAAGCCTAAATAATAAATCATGAAAAAATATGCTGTCCGGCGATTTAGCAGCTCAAAACACATGAAAAAGTATACAATTTAAAACAGAAAATAACGAAGAAACAATTTTTAACGATGCTTTGCGATTCTGATGGTACCATTCGATTCAGCAGCTCGAAACGCGTTGACTTTTGGACCCTTGAGGTGCTTTGAGGCCCGTAAAAAAATCGATTTCAAAAGTGCAATTACTTTTTGGGCAGCGTTTTAAGAGCTTTTCACCCGCGGAAATCCAATCAATAAATGGGCACAACAAACCCCAATTAAAACAGAGCTTAATGGCAAAGTTTTGCCGCATCTTTCTGTGACTTTTTTGGGTTTAATGTGTTGGCTATTGCAGTGCTTGTAGGGATTTAGGCAAATAAAACCCTTCTCTCGTTAGATCATTCATTTATTGTCTTGCCCAATGGGCTGAATAATGGGATACATCAGTCGATAGTAAACGAATCAAGACGGACATTCAGTGGACTTTTACATATGCACTCCAATGATATGCGCAATTTGGTGAGGACCGAAAAATCACCGTTCATTTGAGTAACTCACAAACGTGATTCTCTCAAGTGAACCAAGTGAAGTAGCGGCTTAATTGGGTAGTAAACGAATACAACTTTCAATAGGTTTAAATGTTGTATGCGCCCTGTTGAGGTGAATAAGGAAAATAATTTACAGCATCCTGAATGAGTTCTCTGCCTGAATGGTTGGTAATATTTTCGAAAAGTCTTTGCAAGCAATTGAAGCTTCTATTGGTAATTTTACGCAAAAAAACTGTCTACTGACTTACACGCAAACTTGGCCTTGTCCAAGTTTCACCAAACAAAAACCCCAAACCAGTAAATACTAACATCGTTTTTTTTTCATCAGGCAACAATAAAAAGAGTCTACACACTTAAGGTAAAAACAACTAGAAATATAAAAGTGCTGCAATATACACGGACTTTAGTAATAATGAATATTCAGAATCTTCCCTTCTAGTTTCAATAAAAAAGTTCGCATTAACATCGATGTTTTTTGTACAGGTTCAAATTGGTTTTCTTTGGTTCTTTTATGGTAATCCGCCCACTTTGGAAACCCATCACATGGCGGTGCGATCAAAACGTGTAAACTTTACAAACCAAGTGAAAAATCCGGCTTTTGGCCTTTCGGGGCCTCAAAAGTGCAGTCGTTTGACGAAAGATCTGGAAAATTCCAACTTATCCGGAAATAACCGTTACAAGCGGGGAATTAACAGCCAACATAACATCTTTTATCACATGCAATTCATTAATTGGAGGTTAGCTAGTTATAATACAATCTTAGGCCCTGTTGGGTATTATTCGGTTTCTTCTCTTACCAAGTCTTATTTAAGTAGAAGATAGACGCAAAACCAACCTCAACACTATTTTCAAACAAAATACTTCTTTAAGCCTAAGGGGGAAATTGAATGCGAGTGCAACAAGGCAGCGCTTTAAAATCCCGCGATAGCAAGAGAAAAACGAGCCAGAAACCGTTGGGGGCGGAGCCTCGTCCACATCAGCGAATCAGCACAATTTAAAACATTTTATTCGCAAAAAACGAGGGCGGAGCCTGATCCACATGTATAACAGTATGCACGATAGTTGAGACTCAAACTAGGGAAAATTCGCATAAAAAACCGACGATTTGATTGAATAGAAGACTCAGGTGCAAAAACGCCTTGAACAACATTTCCAATAAAATCCCTTTTGAAGGTTGAAAGGGAAATTGAAAGCGAGAGCAACGAGGCAAGGTTACTAAAGCCTGCGATTGAAAAAGAAAAACGGTGCTGAAAGCGGAGCCTCGCCAACATCCACCAATCAGCAGAATGCAAAACTTATAGAAGACAGTTGAGACTCAAATTCGGTAAAATTTGCAAGAAAAACTGAGGATTTTCGCGGAGTGCTTGGAGTGAGTGCAAGTGGAACAAGACAGCGTCTTGAAAGTGCGCAATAGAAAGAGAAAACAGGCCAGAAAGCGCTGGAGGCGGAGCCTCATTCAAATGTAAAACTCTATGTACGACATTTTATTTGCAAAAAAATTAGGATTTGGTTGAATAAACGACTCAAACGCAAAACAACTTTAACACTATAACAGTATTTCCAATAAAATCCCTTCTGCAGCTAGAAAGGAAAATTGAATGCGGGTGCAACAAGGCAGCATTATGAAAGCGCGCGATAGAAGGAGAGAAAACAGGCCAGAAACCGCTGGAGGCGGAGCCTGATCCACATGTAAAACATTATCTACGTCATTTTATTTGCAAAAAAACAAGGATTTGGTTGAATAAACGACTCAAACGCAAAACAACTTTAACACTATAACAGTATTTCAGTCAAAAAACGTTTCGAACCTTAAAAAAGAAACTGAATGCGAGTGCAAGAAGCCAGCTTTGTTAAAGGAGGCGGAGCCTCGTCGACATCAACCAATCAGGAGAATTAAGAGCAAGGTCACAAAATCACCGAATAATACTCACGGCCAATGAGAATAAACGTTTCTAGTATTTATAATGTACAATGACGGCTCGAATTTGCCGCTACCTTAAGGTTTGTTTTTAAGTAAAAAAGCATTTTTATCAATTCCAATAAAGCACACAGAGAGCTTGTCGAAGCTCATGGTTAAATGGGCGGGGCCTGTGAGACGCGCCCAACCAGTTATATCACTCGCTAATGTAAGTCGCCCTGTATAATTATTAATACTTCGATATGATTTGGTGACACTCTAACTGTATGTGTGCGTGGTATCTACACTTATACGATTTTTCACTTTCCTTAATTTACACTAGGAACCCTACGTAAGCTACGCTCTTCGCTAGAATTTACGCCATCCTTCTTAAATCACTTTGGTTTTAACAGTACAATAATAAATTTTCTGATATAATTAATTTGTTTAACAAGTTCGTGTCGGGGTGCCCCAAATATTCCTGTTGAATTCCTCACGATTATATAGTCCTGTGTATATTTTGGTAAACTGGATCGTTTTTCGGAATATTTGGAGCACAAAATTGGTAAAACTGTTTTTATTTTATGTCGCCGCTAGAAACTCACTGCCAAATGTTCATCCACACTGAAACCAAACAACAAACGAACTGAAATTTTTGATAAATCCGCTCTGCTTATCAGCAACTTACCGATTTAGAGTGATTGATTTCCACAGGGTGGTTGGCCTTATCTCTGAAAAAATCGTACATTTAGACGGGGTAATGTGGGATGTTGGTTGGATTAGGGAAGTTCAAATTAAGCACCTTACTAACCAGGGACGTCGTCCCGAAGAGCTTGTACCAGCCTATGACAATGTTGCTTAAGTTAAGATCGTCGAGCATGATTTGCGCGACGCCCATGAACACTTTTTTGCCTTCGATTCGCCCATAATCGCCCCAAACAGTCACCTGGAAATTTAACCAGCGAACTAAGCAAAAACTTTTCTAAACAGTCGAAGACTAAAATCCATCCACCAGCAAAAAAGTTGGAAGGACGAGAACTTGTTTGGAGCTTGGTCTTGTCTTGGTTTGAATCTTAATTTCTAAAGTTTTCTTTCTCAAGTTTCCAAATGTTCAGCTTGCAGATTTATTTCCGAAGTTTTCTCGTCTTTTGAAAGCAATGGAACAGCGTTTCATGGGATTTACTGAAGCCTGAAGGTTTGGGGCTTTACAGAGCAAAACATTACGCTCATTTCAAAATTTTTAAAACATCGATTAAATTTGAAAGTGCTGATTTTCTCAAAAATAGAACGGTTTTTAGTCAAATGTCGGCGTCGGCATCACCATCGAATTATATCGACTAAATGAGAGCTTCGAAATAAAGGTTTTTACTTAAATGTGCACCATCAGTTAGAAATTTGTGAGTTGCAAGTGGCAACAAGTAGGAACTTGAAATTTTTATATTCTATTGCCAACACTTTAGGCTTTTAACGCGCAAATTTTCAATTAAATCGCGTATTATTGGGATTTTTGGGAACTTTATAAATTCGAAATTAGCGATCGCTTTCTTCAAAAAATTCATAACTTTCTGCAACAATCTTTCAAATCTGCAACTTGAAATTTTCACATCCCATTGCCAAGACTTTAAGCTTATAACGCGTAAAATTCGCATTCAATTCGGGTGTTTGCGAACTTTATAAATGACGGTTTCAAAGTAAGAATTTTTACCTACACTAACGCCGGTTTTCAAAAATTCGTAACTTCCGAAGAAGAACAAGTAGCAACTTGAAAATTTATCATTCTGTTGCAAATACTTCTTGCTTGTAACGCAACCATTTCCAATAAAATAGGATTCAATCCCTGATTTTCAAAACTTTGAAATCAAAAGTTTCGAAATAAGCGCTTATAACAAGACGTTCGCTTTCTTTTAGAAATTTGCAGATTTCAATGTAGAACAAGTAGCAACTGGAAAATTTCACACTCCATTCCTAACATCTGGTCCTTCCAATCCTGTAAGTTTCAATAAAATCGTAGTTAATCCTGATTTTTGCGAATTTTATAAATTATAGTGTCAAGATAACCGTTTTTACCCACACATTGGCTCTTTTTTCGAAATTTATCAATTCCAAGCGAGGATAAGTAGAAACATTAAACTTTCACAGTTTATTGCTAACACTTTCCGCATCTGACCCAAAAAGTTTCAATAAAATCGCATTCAATCTTGATTTTTGCATACTTTATAAAAAAAGTTTGAAAAAAACAGTTTTTACTGAGATGCTCGCTCTCTTTTAAAAATTCCTAACTTTGAAACAAAAATAACTAGCAAGTTGAAATTTGCAAATTCTCTTCCTAGGACTTGACCTTTATCAATCCACAATTTCCAATTAAATCATATTGATGCTTGTTTTTAGGCGAATTTTATAAATAACGTTTTGTACCTAGACAATCGTTGTCTTTTAAAAATTGATAAATTTTAAACCTGAACAAGGAGAAACTTGAAAAATTCAGATTATATTCCTAATGCTTGGCGGGTATAAAGTTCAACATTTTAATTAAAATGCATTAAATACTGATTTTTGCGAACTATATAAATAACACTTTTATTTTTAAGATAAATGTTTTCCCGTAGAGTGGCGCTCACTTTTAAAAATTAATTACTTCYAAACTGTGACAAGTAGCAACTTGAAATTTTYACATTCCATGGCCAAGACTTCAGGCTTATAACGCGTAAATTTKCAATACAATCKCATTCAATTCRGATGTTTGCGAATTTTATAAATGACGGTTTCAAAGTARGGGTTTTTACCAACACTAACGCTGGTTTTCAAAAATTCGCAACTTCCAAAGAAGAACAAGTAGCAACTTGAAAATTTCTCATTYTGTTGCAAAAACTTYTTGCTTGTAACGYAACCATTTCCAATAAAATCGGATTCAATCCCTGATTTTCGAAACTTWAAAATCGGGAGCTTCGAAATAAGCGCTTATAACAAGACGTCTTTTTCTTTCGAAATTTATAACTTTCAAGCGAGGACAAGTAGAAACTTTAAACTTTCGCAGTTTATTGCTAACACTTTCCGCATCTGACCCGAAAAGTTTCAATAAAATCGCATTCAATCTTGATTTTTGCACACTTTATAAAAAAAGTTTGAAAAAAACAGTTTTTACTAAGATGCTCGCTCTCTTTTAAAAATTCGTAACTTTGAAACAAAAATAACTAGCAAGTTGAAATTTGCAAATTCTCTTCCTAGGACTTGACCTTCATCAACCCACAATTTCCAATTAAATCATATTGAATCTTGTTTTTAGGCGAATTTTATAAATAACGTTTTCTACCTAGATGATCGTTGTCTTTTCAAAATTGATAAATTTTAAACCTGGACAAGGATAAATTTGACAAATTCAGATTCTATTGCTAATGCTTGGCGGGTATAAAGTTCAAAATTTCAATTAAAGTGCATCAAATACTGATTTTTGCGAACTATATAAATATCACTTTTATTTTGAAGATAAAGGTTTTCCCGAAGAGTTGCGCTTACATTTAAAAATTAATTACTTCCAAACTGTGACAAGTAGCAACTTGAAATTTTCACATTCCATGGCCAAGACTTTAGGCTTACAACGCGTAAATTTTCAATATAATCGCATTCAATTCGGATGTTTGCAAACTTTATAAATGACGGTTTTAAAGTAAGGTTTTTTACCAACACTAACGCTGGTTTTCAAAAATTTGCAACTTGCAAAAAAGATCAAGCAGCAACTTGAAAATTTCTCATTCTGTTGCAAAAACTTCTTGCCTTGCTTGTAACGCAACCATTTCCAATAAAATCGGATTCAATCCCTGATTTTCGAAACTTTGAAATCGAGGGTTTCGAAATAAGCGCTTATAACAAGACGTTCGCTTTCTTTTACAAATTTGCAGCTTTCAATGTAGAACAAGTAGCAACTGGAAAATTTAACACTTCATTCCTAACACCTGGTCCTTCCAATCATGTAAGTTTCAATAAAATCGCAGTTAATCCTGATTTTTGCGAATTTTATAAATTATTGTGTCAAAATAACCGTTTTCACTGACCTATTGGCTTTTTTCGAAATTTATAACTTTCAAGCGAGGACAAGTAGAAACTTTAAACTTTCGCAGTTTATTGCTAACACTTTCCGCATCTGACCCGAAAAGTTTCAATAAAATCGCATTCAAYCTTGATTTTTGCAYACTTTATAAAAAAARTTTGAAAAAAACAGTTTTTRCTAAGATGCTCGCTCTCTTTTAAAAATTCGTAACTTTGAAACAAAAATAACTAGCAAGTTGAAATTTGCAAATTCTCTTCCTAGGACTTGACCTTTATCAACCCACAATTTCCAATTAAATCATATTGAATCTTGTTTTTAGGCGAATTTTACAAATAACGTTTTCTACCTAGACGTTCGTTATCTTTTAAAAATCGATAAATTTTAAACCTGGGCAAGGAGAAACTTGAAAAATTCAGATTCTATTGCTAATGCTTGGCGGGTATAAAGTTCAAAATTTCAATTAAAATGTATCAAATACTGATTTTTGCTACTATATAAATGGCACTTTTATTTTTAAGATAAAGGTTTTCCCATAGAGTGGCGCTCACTTTTAAAAATTAATTACTTCCAAACTGCGACAAGTAGCAACTTGAAATGTTCACATTCTATTTTTAATAATTGCCGCTTTCAACGCAACAACTTGAAATATAATTGCTTGTAAAATACCCGTTTGAACTTAGAAGCCGCTTTTGAATGTTTATAACTTCCAAACCAGGAGAAATAGAAACTCAAAATGTTCGCATTCTTTTGCCAACACTGTCCACTTATGACTCTGAAACTTTCCATCAAACAGCGTTGGAATTTGATTTTAGCAAATTTTTTAAGTAAAGTTTTCATCCAGATTGAAAGAATTGAGAGAAAAAAATTGACTACTTCCCAACCCGGGCAGGTGGCATCATAAAAGTTTTACAAACTGCGCCCAAAAATGGACGATTTAAACCCGAGCATGTTGGTTACAATCTCAACCAATCCTGATTTTTGCAAAATTTGTAAATAAAAGTCTCAACATGCAGCAGATTCATCTAGATGTCCTCCCATTAAAAAAATCGCAACTTTCAACTAAGAGTAAGTAGAAACTTGAAACTTTCACAATCGGTAGCCAAAAATAGGCCCTTTAAAAGGAAGCATTTGCAGTTTGCAAATTGCAAATAAAACAAATCCGAATTCGTAAATAAAAGTCTGCGACTTCAGTAATTATCACCAGATCCACCCCGATGTCGTCCGATGAAAAAAATGGTTACTTTCCACTAAGAGTAAGTCGAAACGTGAAACTTTCACAGTCTAATGTAAACATTTTGATGTAAAAGCGGTGATTTTTTCATTGACATTGGACAAGATCCTGATGTTTTTTCCAGTCGCATCAAGGTTGATCTGAAAATGAAAGTTTTCACACAACTGCAGCCACCTTAAAAAACGTCCAACTCATAACTCGGGCGAGTAGGAGGCTAAAAGTTTCACCGTCTACAAAAGGCACTTTCCAAATTCCATCGCAAGCCAGGAATATCGGGAAAAACACTCACCTGCAGTATACAGTTTGTATAATTCTCCTTAAACGTGACTTGCTTCTGATAGAGCGGATCTAATGTTCGCCGAGCCTGCTGCGTTTTCGCTTTGGCGTAACATTTCTTCCCACACACCAGATACACTTTCACGTAGGGCGCTGGAAAAGCCACCAAATCAACTCAACAACCTCCCATTTAAAGCCGTAGTCTCTCACCTGGTAACACTTTGGAACCGGTCCGGGCCTGCAGGCCTCTAGCTCGGATGATTTCCACCTCCAAGACTCCTCGCTGATGGCACAAAGACAATTGAATGTCTCCTAAAGAGGGGGCGCCCAGCACCTGGCGCCCAACCAACTGTCCAGGACCTAAGCCCTCAATGAACTCAGCCAGTTGCCCTTCGCCGGTCAATCGCAGCGATGGCGACCACCTAAATGTATCCAACAGTTTAGAAAATCTTCGATCCAGTTGCCCCAAGAACCCAAATCTACATAGCTGCTCCCCGTGTTTCAGGGGGCAAATAAAAAGTCGTAATATATAAGTGAAATAGAGCAAACACAGAGATGTACATAGAGAGAGATAGAGAAAATCCGGGCCAAGGTCTAAAGCTACTAAGAGTGATGGAACAAGATTGGATCTTCAATGTGATTGTGTGGTAAATCGTGCATTTCCTACGGTGGCTACGCTAGAATTTTCATGCGAAACTGGATGCTTGATCAGAATTAGGTCCAATACATACCCAAACCTCTGGATAGTCTAAGCATGCACTGTAAAGATGCCACAGCAACAATCAGAGAAGAAGTAGATGTACAGTATGGGGCAAATGGATGGAACCTATTCATTTTGAATGTCCACGATAGTTTTTCTGCGGTAAAATTCAACTGTATAGTCCCCGAAATAAGTGAATTTCTATTAAAAACACCTCGTTTTTTGGACTCCGGATTCAATTATATGTGTATTTTTTGCACGATGGTTCATCATGCAAAATGAATCAACAAATGTATTTTGTTTAATCAAATTATTTATTACTGCGAAATTTTTTCATCTTTAAATTTTGCCCTCAAATAACAAAATCAGATTCCTCATTTGTAAACTATGATCCAAAAATTTATGAATTTACACAACTGCACTCTCACATTCCAAATTATGTCACTTTAAATCCAGAACAAGTAGGAACTTGAAACTTTCTGAGATTCATTAACTACAATTGAATCTGAAAACCACAAATTTTGCCATCAAATCGCACACTCAGATTTCTGATTTTTGCAAGTTTGGTAAACTGATCCAAAAATGAATGAAGTTCTACCACTGCACGCGATTCTTTAAAAATTTGTAACTTTTAACCCAGAACACGTAAAACCGTGAAACTTTCACAGTCCATTAAATACACTGGAGTGTGAAAACTTTAAGTTTTTCCATCAAATCGCACAATCAGATTCCTGATTTTTGCAAGTTTTGTAACCTCTGATCCAAAAATGAAAGAATTTACACAACCGCACACTCCAATTCAAAAATTGATAACTTCCGACCTAGAGCGAGTATAAAATTGAAACTTGCACCGTTTAGAGTCAATAACAGGATCTAAAAACTAGGAAATTTTTGGCAAAATCACACACAATTAGGAGTTTAGCCGACTGTGGCAATTTCGGTCTAAAAATTGATAATTTCATACATCTACACACCGTTTTTAAAAAATATTCCCTTTTAACCTGGGGCAAGCAGACACCCTAAACGTTCAAAGATTACTGAGTACACTCGAGTCTGAAAGCACAGAAAATTTCAAATGAATAGCAAATAATTCTGAGTTCTACAAACCGTAAAAATTTGGCCTTAAAATGAATGATTCCACGCAATTGCACGATCTTGTTTAAAAATTGGTATCTKCCAAAAMAGATYGAGTATCAACTTTAATCCTTCACACTCTGGAAYAAACAATTGAGCCCGAGTTCTCTGAAATTTTTGATCAAATCCCAGAAAATCCTGATTTTTTCCAAGTGATTCAATTTTGACCTAAAGAYRAAAAATTATTRMATTTAAWCAACTGCACGCKCCCRTTTCAAAATTCACAASTTGCAACTTCGAACTTAAAACAAATAGAAACTTGAAAGTTTCACRACTCGTTAAGGGACTTGAGTCCAAAAACCCAAAAAATTTGCACCAAATCGCAGAAAACCGGATWTTWACASACTTTGTAAACCCTGRTAAAAAAATTAATKATTYCATGCAAATGCAAAASCTCAATTAAACATTCGTAACTTCCAAAAGWGAYCAACCAAAAACTTRAAACTTTCACAGTCTCCTGTAAACAATTGAGCYTGAAAMCGCWGAATTTTGTTTTGAWATGCYACAAAACCCTGATTTTTTCCATCTTTGGTCACTTTCATTCGAAAATTAATATATTCACACAAGTTCACACCGTCTTRAAAAAWTGATTTSTGTTAAMGTGGATYAAGTAGAAACCTGAAAGTTTCATCRTCCACTAAAKAAGYGTGTCTCTCTWAACCCGGAACGTTTCAGTCAAGTTGCGCAGAAATCCCACAAAATCTTGATTKTACAACCTTTGTRAACCKTATCTTAAAAATGAATGRWTTTATTTATMCCTAYCCAGAGCAMGTAGAAACCAGTAACTTTTAAAGCCTACYAAGGACGTGAAGATATGAAAGCGCTTAAAATTTTGTYAAATCGYACAAATCSTTAATTTTACAACCCTTGTAAAGTTTGTCCTGAAAATACATTTTTTGGCGATTGCAAGCTCGAACTTAAAATTCGTATCTTCCCAAACAGTAAAATTCAAGTGTTCAGTCCCCGAAATAAGTGACTACTTCWAGATTTTCTATTAAAAACACCTCGTTTTTTGAACTCCGGATTCAATTTTATGTGTATTTTTTGCACAATGGTTTCTACCTTAACTTAGCAATTAGCAAGACACTTTTTCATTCCAACCAATCAACAAACCAGATGTATTTTATTTAGTCAAATTATTTAATATTGAGAATTTTTTTTCAGGACTTTAATCTGGAAATTCTAAATTTTGCCCTCAAATAAGAAAATCAAATTCCTCATTTGTAAACTATGATCCAAAAATTAATGAATTTACACAACTGCACTCTCACATTTCAAAATTTGTCACTTTCCATCCAGAACAAGTAGGMACTTGAAACTCTCAGAGTTYATTAGCTAMAATTGAATCTGAAAACCCYAAATTTTGCCATCAAATCGCACACTCAGATTCCTGATTTTTGCAAGCTCGGTAAACTGATCCAAAAATGAATGAATTTTTACCACTGCACKCKMTYCTTTAAAAATTTGTAACTTTTAACCCAGAACAAGTAGAACCGTGAMACTTTCAYAGTCTAYTAAATACAATAGAGTCTGAAAACTTCAGAAAAAATCACATGCAATTAGGAGTTTATCCAACTGTGACAATTTCGGTCTAAAAATTGATAATTYCATACACCTACACACCGTCTTTAAAAAATATTCCCTTTTAACYTGGGGCAAGCAGAAACCGTAAACGTTTAAAGATTACTGAGTACACTCGAGTCTGAAAGCACAGAAAATTTCAAATGAATCGCAAATAATTCGGAGTTCTACAAAAAATTTGGCCTTWAAATGAATGACTCCACGCAATTGCACGATCTTATTTGAAAATTGGTATCTTCCAAAACAGATCGAGTGTCAGCATGAAACCTTCACAGTCTGGAACAAAAAATTGAGCCCAAGTTCTCTGGAATTTTTGATCAAATCGCAGAAAATCCTGATTTTTWTMRAMTKWKTMAAYTTTGGCCTAAAGAYAAAAAATKAWTGAWTTYAWRCAAMTGCACGCTCCCGTTTCAAAATTCACAACTTGCAACTTTGAACTTAAAACAAATTGAAACGTGAAASTTTCACACCTCGTTAAGGGACTTTAAAAAGAGAGTCCAAAAGCTTTCACTTTCATTCGAAAATTAATATTTTCACACAAGTKCACACCGTCTTGAAAAATTATTTGTGTTAACGTGGATCAAGTAGAAACCTGAAAGTTTCACCGTCCACTAAARAARTGTGTYTCTCCAAAYCCGGAACATTTCAGTCAAGTTGCGCAGAAATCCCACAAAATCTTGATTTTACAACCTTTGTAAACCCTATCTTAAAAATGAATTAATTAATTATTATTATTTATCCCTTATCCAGAGCAAGTAGGCACCAGTAACTTTTAAAGCCTACTAAGGACGTGAAGATATGAAAATGCTTAAAATTTTGTCGAATCGCACAAATCCTCAATTTTACAACCCTTGTAAAGTTTGTCTTGGAAATTAATTTTTAGGYAATTGCACGCTCGCACTWAATTCATAGCTGCCAAAACAGATCMAGTAGAAACTTGAAACGTTCACACTCKGAAGCGAACAATTAGATTATGAAAGAAATCCTGAAATTTKTCTAGAAATTGCATAAAATCCTAACTTTTACAAACTTTGTGAACTCTAGACTAAAAATGAAAGATTTCACGCAACCACAAGCTTTCAGTTAAAAATTCCCAACATCCAAAACAGCTCAAGCAAAAACTAAAAATTTTCATAGTCTGGAATAAACAATTGTATATGATTATGCTGACATTGTTTGCAGAAATCGCAAAACTTAACTGTATACTCTGAGCTAAACATTAACGAATTCAGCCAACTGCACGTTAGCACTTAAAAATTTCAGAACATAACAAGTAGAAACTTGAAACTTTCATAGACTGGAGTGAAATCTGAAAAAGCTATTTTTTKTCAATATTTTTATATCACGCGAAATCCTGAATATATAAACTTGATAAGCTCTGGGCTAAAAATGAACGATTTCAGACAAGTGCAAGCTTTCATTAAAAAATTAGTAACTTCCAAAGCAGGTCAAGTAGCGCCTTAAAACTTTCAGAGTCCAAAATATACAATTGAATATGAGAGCGCTGAATTTTTGCTTGAAATAGCACAAAAAATTGATTTTTTTCAATTTTGTGAATTGAGGCATTAAAGGCATGATTTCATACAACTGCAGCCTCTGCTCGCCATGTAAAAACTTGAAACGTATACAAAAAATACCTCAAAAAAAATACCTCTGTAATAATTTCACCTAAAACACAAAATCCTGACTTTTGSTGTGTTAAGTTGAAAAGTAAATATTTTAACACAACTGCGCACCGGCTGTAAAAGATATTTAGCTGAATATCAGGTGCAAGTAGAAAACTTTCACATTCCCATAAAGACTTTTAAAAAGTAATATTTTTGGACAATTCCGTTTGCTTACAAGAATTTGACTTGAAAAATGCAGCAATTTATTAATCTACATCTACTCGAASGTTTTTCGACAGACAAAATTGACCTGTGAATTAAAAATAAAATGGCCAAAATATCAGAATGGTCAGAATGACCACTCGAAAACCGAAAATGATGARAAMATTGTGACTRCATTTTTTWAATTTAAAGTACTCTTTAAATTAATAAAAATAAACWAATGCAAAAAATGAAAAAKAYWTTTTTGGCAAATAATARCACAATAGCAAAGATGCARTAAACCATTTAGGATCAATCRATTGCAAAAGTTAGTTCATATGTGTGTTCAGATACTCCTAAGACGAAATCTAGTGGAATCAAGTCCGGTGAACGTGCCGGCCAAGTGCTTAAAAGTCGTAGAAAACAAAAGGTGGTCTTCACGAGGACTCACAGAACTATGAGAAAGTGTCTGGTTTTGCTGCCGCCTTGATATTAACGCCAAAAAATTAATAATTGAAAGTTTTCCGACATCACTAACCATTCTGGTCGTGGTCCCAATGCACTTGCCCCATACTGTATATAAAAAGCCATCATTACACCGGCACACACCCATACACGGTGGTATCATCGGCCCAACTCCAAGCAACGTGTACTTACGAGGATCCTTCTGAGCTGCTAATCGAGTTAAGGCTGGAAGCCCGCTGGCTGCCTTCTGATGATCTTGGGGGGATCATCGGCACAACCTCCTGAGATCGCTGGATGCTGGGGGGCGTGGTGGTCGAAGTGCGCTTTCTAGCCAATCCGGTGTCTGCAGTGCCAGAAATCAGTGAGTGTATTACTAATGCAAGTGGCGCTTGTCGCTAGTTCTTTAACTGCGCGTCGCTAGGAGCCAGCTCACTCTCTATCTGACTTTCATTTTAAACAAGTTGGGATAAACCTCAAACCTTCAAAACCTCAAGATCAAGATTGCGTCCTGTAATCAAAGGGGTTATCGTGGGAGAGGGTCCTTAACGTTGAACGTCCTGGACATCTATAAAAGTGAATCTACTAAAGTCTCTACAAAGCGCATGGAAATCCCTAGGTTAATAATAGCAAATGAAATGTCCGCTATCTCACGCATCAACATGAAGCAGTAGCTCTAATTCATCTACAAGACCACTAGAGAAAACAGGCAAAGAAACTAAAGTTCTACAGTTAGCATTCGCGATCTATTTATTGAAAGTCGGCGCTCTGTAGGCAACTGTCCATGGTCTAAATCGATGCCAACCAACCATTGGATCTTCTCTCTATGTACGGAGTACGTGTTTGCTCTTAGGAGTAAGGAGGGGAAGGTGAGGAGAAAATGAGATTGTTGTTGTTAAGCACCTGTCGCCATCAGCTGAGCCTTCGCCGTCGCTGGACGCTGAAGAGCCTTGTTTGGACAATCGCACATCGCCTGGCAGCACCTCTTCCGACCTATGTACAGTAAAAGAGGTTTTCCCCCTACGTCCAAAGCCCATTCGTCGTTTTCGACCTTGGAAGTAAAAAAATGTATCATTTTTGGTTGGAAAGGTTGTGGGGCAAGGACGAGCATACACGCATTGCTAAGCTATGGTTAAACCTACAATCCACTTGGAGTAATGAAGGGCATAACCACACAAACATCACAAGTTAAGGTCTATTTTACAAACGGTTTGAGTCAGTTGGTATTTTTAGGTGGCTTGCAGCTTCAGTTTTCACTTCTTAGGCAATTTGCTCGTTGTACATCCCCGCTCTGCTTTTCAGGCAGGAAAAGGTTCTTCATTCCCAAAGCAACATTAACATTAAAGAATTTTCAATTCTCGTTCCTCAGCATGAGCCAAATGGGATTAAGTGGCTTGGACATCGATCTAGGTACTCTTAACTATACAACGTTCTTAACGACAGAGTGTTATTGAGGAAGGAAAGAAGATGCCCAAACTTTCCTCAATTTCTATGCGACGCTGGGGAAACTGACAACTCGATGGAACTTGTTCAGAAATTTTTGCGACGGTTTTCCGGCAAAAGTTGATTGGGAAAGAACGGTGACTGTTTGTCGCATGATCAAGGGAAAGGAAACTTTTTCTAGAGACTCGGGGGGTTTGAAATAAAATAACCTGAACGTGGCAAATGAGCCAAACGGATGTCGGCCCTTATTTAAAAAATCCAAATTTGGGTAAGTAGCAACTTGCAATTTTCATAATATACTCTGAACACTTGAAACTTGAAATTTGAGTATTTTTTTAAAAATCGCAGTAAATCCTGATTTTTTATAACGTTTTAAATGACTGATGATTTTCACCCAGATGTTTGCTGCCCTTGAAAAATTCGCAACTTTCAATCTAGTGCAAGTAGCAACTTGCAATTTTCACAATGTATTGCCGCTACTTAAGGCTTAAAATGCTAAAATTTTCATAAAAATTGTAGCAAATCCTAGTTTTTGCGGCGTTTGTAAATGCGGTCGCAAAATGAAAATTTCCACAAATATTTTTGATGTCTTTTAAAAAATCATAATTTCCAACTTAATGCAAGTAGCAACTTGAAATTTTTCACACTGGACGCGTAAAATGCTAAAATTGTCATTAAAATCATAGCAGGATCTAATTTTCGCAAACTGAGAATGCGAGTCTTCAAATGAAGACTTTCATCAAGATGTTCGCTGTCTTTCAAATATTCATAGTTCTGACTCTAAAGCAAGTAGTAACTTGAAATTTTCACGGCCTAATGCGGAAACTGGAGGCTTATAATGCTAAAATTTTTATAAAAATCGCTAAAAACCCTGATATTTCAAATATTATAAATGCGAATCAGTCTGAAAACGTAAGTTTCGAGTCAGATATTCGCTATACTTTAAAAATTCATAATTTCCATTCCAATGCAAGCAGTAACTTGCAGTGTTCACAATCTATTGCCGAAACTTGAGACTTAAAATGTTATAATTTTCATCAAATAGCAGGAAAACCTTATTGCTGCAAACGTTGTAAATGCGAGTCTTAAAATAAGAGTTCAGTTTCAATCCGGATGTTCTTTATCTTTAAAATATTCATAATTTTCAATCTGCCCCAAAGAACCACTTGCAATTTTCACTGTTAATTGCCGACACTTGGGGCTTCAAATGTGAAAATTTTCAACAAAATTACAGTAAATTCCGATTTTTGAAAATTTTGCGACTGCAATCGCAATCGCAATCAAATGAGGATTTCCACCCAAATGTTTGATAGCCTTTAAAAATTCGCATTTTCCAACTCGGCACAAGTAGCAACTTGCAAATTTCTCCAGTTAATTGCAGACATTTCAGACTTAAAACGCAAAAATGTTCATAAATAACGCAGTAAATGCCGATTTTTGCGCACTTGGTAAATGCGAGTCTCCACACGAAGGGTTTCGCCCATATGTTCGATGTGATTTTCAAAATTCATAATTTTGAATATACAGCAAGCCGTAGCTTGAAAGCTTCAGGGTCTAATGCGGACACCAGAAGCCTAAGGTGGTAGAATTTTCATACAAATCGCAATAAATCCTGATTTTCTCAACTTTGCAATTACGAGTTTGAAAACAAAGCTTTTCACTCAGATTTTCGCTGTCTTTAAACAATTCATAATTTCCAATTGTGCAAGTAGGAAATTTGCAATTTTCACACTCTGTTGCCTACACGTAAGTCTTTAAATACTGGAATTTCCATTTGCCTGAAAATTTCGAATTGCAGAAAATAATAATTTTTTTTAAAGATTTTCAACAATATTTTCGCAGTTTTTCACATTTGGTAATGTCGAATATGGTGCAAGTATCGACTTGAAATTTTTTCAGTCTATTGCCCACATTTGCGGCTTAATATGCAAAAATTATCATTAAAATCACAATTTATCCTAATCTTTGCAAACTTTGCGAATGGGATTTTTCCAATAAAGGTTTTCATCCAGATGTAGAGAACATCTGGGTGAAAAATCCATCATTTTCTATCTAGTGCAAGTGGCAACTTGCGAATCTTCACAGTCCACTGCCCATACTTGAGATTAAAATGCTAAAATTTTCATCAATATAATCGTGGTAATTGCTGATTTTGGCGAAATTTGCAAATGGGAGGCTTCAAACGAATGCTTCTGCCCATATGTTCGATCTTCTTTCCAAATCTATAATTTTGAATATAGAGCAAGTAGCAACTTGAAATTTTTACAGTCTAATGTGGACACTAGGGGCTCAAAGCGCAAATTTTTTTATAACAATCGCAATAAATTCTGGATTTTTTGAACGTTGTAAATGCTAGTCTCAAAGCAAAAGTCTCTATTCAGATATTCGCTGTCTTTTAAAAATTCATAAATTCCAATTCGATGCAAGTAGCAACTTGCAATTTTCACAATCTATTGCCGACACGTATGGCTGAAAACGCTGAAATTTTCATAACAATTGCACTAAACAATAATTTTTGCGGTGTATGTAAATGCGAGTCTTACAACGAGGGTTTCCGTCAAGAACTTCGTTGCCGTTTCAAAATTCGCAATTTCCGAAATAGTGCAAGTAGCAACTTGCAACTTTCACAGTCTATTGTTGAGACTTGATTCTTAAAATACTAAAGTTGTCATACAAATTTCAGCAAATCCTGATTTTTGCAAACTTAGTAAATGCGAGTCTCAAAACGAAAGTTTTCACCCACACGTTTGTTGCTTTAAAAAATTATTTCCAATCTAGAACAGGTAGCGTCTTGCAATATTCACACTCTATTGCTAGCACTTGATGCTCCCAACGCAAGAAATGTCTTTACATGCTGATTTTTTGCAAATTTGATCAGAAACAGTTTGAAAATAAATGTTTCCACTTGGATATTAAAAAATTCGTTAGCTCCAAACCAGGGCAAGTAGCAACTGGAAATTGTCCGTTTCAGTCTGTATCGGACACTTGCAGCTGTAAAATCCATAAGCTAAGAAAGCTGACAAAGTTGTCAGGGTGACCACTCCAACTCATCAGTAGAACTTCAACCATTGAGCGCTTACCTGTAGCCGAAAGCTGGCTGGTGGAGCTGCTCTTTTTATTTAACCCAGAAAACTGATTCTGCCTATCCCGGTCTCGTCCGTCCTTTCTCTCCCTATGCGGCACGTCCAAGCCATGCAGCTGACTCACTGCTGTATCACTCAAGCTTCCATCTAAAACCAAGCAACAGATCCATATCACCTCCAATCGCCTCCCCAAGCACTTCTTCACCCACCTGCTTTGTCCTCCGACGGAGGTTCCGTGTTGGAGAGACTTCTAGTGAACTGTCCTCTCTTCACGGTGCCCTCCCTACGATGATGGTGGTGGTGGTGATGATGATGGTGGTTCTGATCATCTGGATGGCTGTGATGGTGCGAGTCCAGAGAGTCCATGGTGTCTCTATCCGAGCCTCTATCACTGGCAGTGGAGTTGCGTGTCATCTGGTAACCTCCCGAGGAGTAGTTGGAGTACTCCGCGCTAGGGAAAGAGTGAAAGGTTTGGCCCTGTGTGAAAGGTACTACTACTCACCTAGACATTCTAGTGCCTCTAGGCCGTTCACTCTGCGTGGAAAACGAGCTGCTGGTCACTGAGGCGACCGACTCCATATCGCTGTCAAAGTCCCCCAATCCCAGAGGGTCTCGGTCTCTATCCGGGGAGACGTTCCGCCTATGGCTGCTGCTCCTCACATGACTAGTGAGGTCGCTATCGCTCAGCCCACTATACCTCCGCTCCCAGCTGGAGCCGGAGTTTCTGTAGCTATGATGGACGTATCGCACGCGCCTGTTATTGGCGCCCCGATCCTCCAAATCTTGCGCCACTCGCTCCTGGCAATAGGAGAATGCGTTTCTCATTGCTGTTCCTCTGGTTGCACCTGGGGACTAACCTGTAGGGCGCGAGCCAGCGCATGAGGAACCTGCGGGAGTTGGCGTTTCTTCGGGGAGCCGGTAGGAGTGGCTGTAGCCGACCGCGACTTGAACCTCGTGCCGGAAACGACGACAGTTTCGCAGTCTGGCGGCGAGAGTGAGCGATAGTCGGTAGCCATCCGCCTAGGGGACTTGGAGCGAGATCTAGATGAGTGTACCACTTGAGTATCGCAAGGAGCTGCCGAGTGGGAGCGCGCCCCAGTCATGCTGTCCTGAAAAAGTCACCACTCGGATTGTAGGAGTGGAGAACTCACCCCATCCCCTATCTGAATGTTACCCTCTTGTACTTATAAGGCGCTATGGATTCTTGGTCTCGTCTGGATCTCCGCTCGCATTCCCTAGGAGGGCTGGAAGAGCTCCCCACGCTGCTCACACTGGCCCCGTCCGCTCCCCTACGTTCCCTACTGCCCTCAATTTCGCACTCCGAAGTCGTGTCGCTGTCGGAAAAGCGACTGCCTGTACTGGGAGGCGATAGGTGCTCGCTGGGCGTCAGCGCCACCTGAAAAATCCAGCCCCATTGAACTTATGCGTTCTACCCCCAAAACCTCAACAGCAAACCTCCTCATGGGGCACCAGCTGTCTCCAAGTGGGCTGCTCATCTAGCGGCCAGAGTTCCACGTTGGCCTCTCCTAAAAAATCGTTCGCCCCATATCGGACGTAGTCCCAAACTGTTATCTCGAGAGATCGGAGTCTAAGGTCGGCTCTCCTCAATCCGGAGTAAACGAACGTTTGGTTCCACATGGGCTCGGTTGTTCCTGGAAAATGCCGCTCTAAACAGTGCTTGCTTGGGTCAGTTTACATACTCAAAACCACACAAAACAACCGGCTCCATATTGCTTTCTACACACTTCACTTTATATGCCCAGAAAGTTGCGAAGTTATGCAAAAGTTTATGGAGTTTTGGGGAATTTTTACAGCGACTTGAAATTACCTTGTATTAAGATTTATGAGATGAATTTTACATTTTAAAAATCCTTTTACAAAAACCGGACAAATGAGGGAAGGGTTTTATATCTATAAAAGTCCAGTTCCTCCTCCAGTCCGGAGTACCCTTTACGTTAAGGGACAATTAAAAAACATAGTTATGCAAAAACTAGACCAAGAACAAAAACGATTTATCCAGCTATTGGAGTTTTCGCGAATTTTAAGTCGATTTGGAGCTCCTCGGAGTCTGTTTTACATTAAGAAACTCTGTCAAAAAATTGTTGTGCAAAAACTCGATTAACAAGAGACAAGCTTCAGGCAGCCATCAACAGAAGCCACTTCACTTTATACGGCCTGAAAGTTTCGAATTCATAGCAAAGTTTTTGGGGTTTTCGTGAATTTTTAAGCCGATTTGGAACTATCCGGAGTCTCTTTTACGTTAAGAGGAGATTTCAAAAAATCGTTACACAAAAACTAGACTAAAGAAAGTAATGCTTTACACACTCATGAAAAGAACAAACTTCACTTTATGTGACCTGAAAGTTGCACACTCAAAAACAATTTTTTTGGAGTTTTCGTGAATTTTTGAATTCGACTTGGAATTACCTGGTGGTTTTAACATTAAGACACACTTTCAAAAAATCGTTGTTCAAAAATTAGACGAAAGAGAAAAACGTGTTTCATAGCAATGAACAGAAGACATTTCACTTTGTATGCCCTCAAAGTGGCAAATTTATGACGGAGTTTTCGCGAATTTTTTAAGTCGATTTGGAACTACCCGGAGAATCTTTTTCGTTAAGGGAAGATTTCAAAAATCGTTATACAAAAACTAGATTAAAGAAAGAAATGCTTTACACACTGATCAAAAGAACAAACTTCACTTTATATGCCCTCAAAGTGGCAAAGTTATGACGGAATTTTTGGAGTTTTCGCGAATTTTTTAAGTCGATTTGGAACTACTTGGAGAATCTTTTATGTTAAGAGAAGATTTCAAAAAATCGTTATACAAAAACTAGACTAAAGAAAGAAATGCTTTACACACCCATCAAAAGAACAAACTTCAGCTTATGTGACCTGAAAGTTGCAAATTCAAAAACTATTTTTTGGAGTTTTTCTAAATTTTTGAATTCGACTTGGAATTACCCRGTGATTTTTTCCGTTAAGACACACTTTCAAAAAATCGTGTTTCAAAAATTAGACTAAAGAGAAAAACCTGTTTTACAGCAATGAATAGACGACACTTCACTTTATAAGCCCTCAAAGTGGCAAAGTTATGACGGAGTTTTTGAAGTTTTCGCGAATTTTTTAAGTCGATTTGGAACTACCCGGAGAATACTTTACGTTAAGAGAAGACTTCAAAAAATCGTTATACAAAAACTAGATTAAAGAAAGAAATGCTTTACACACTCATCAAAAGAACAAACTTCATTTTATGTAACCTGAAAGTTGCAATATCAAAAACAATTTTTCTGGAGTTTTTGTGAATTTTTGAATTCGACTTGGAATTACTCGGTGCTTTAACACTTTAACATTAACACACTTTAACAAAATCGTGTTTCAAAAATTAGTCTAAAGAGAAAAACGTGTTTTACAGCAATGAATAGACGACACTTCACTTTATATGCCCTCAAAGTGGCAAAGTTATGACGGAGTTTTTGGAGTTTTCGCGAAAGTCGATTTGGAACTACGCGGAGAATCTTTTACGTTAAGAGAAGATTTAAAAAAATCGTTATACAAAAACGAGACTAAAAAACAAGCGCTTTACGCACTCTTCAAAAGAACAAACTTCACCTTATGTGACCTGAAAGTTTTAAATTCAAAAACAATTTTTTTGGAGTTTTTGTGAATTTTTGAATTCGACTTGGAATTACTCGGTGCTTTTTTACATTAAGACACACTTTCAAAAAATCGTGTTTCAAAAATTAGACGAATGAGAAAAACCTGTTTTGCAGCAATGAACAGACGATACTTCACTTTATATGCCTTCAAAGTGGCAAATTTATGACGGAGTTGTTGGAGTTTGTGCGAATTTTTTAAGTCGATTTGGAACTACCCGGCGAATGTTGTACGTTAAGAGAAGATTTCAAAAAATTGTTATACAAATACTAGACTAAGAAAAGAAATGCTTTACACAAATTATCAATCATTATCATGATCGACCTGAAAGTTGCAAAAACAAAAACAATTTTTTTTGGAGTTTTTGTGAATTTTTGAATTCGACTTGGAATTACTTGGAGTTTTTTACATTAAGACACGCTTTAAAAAAATCGTGTTTCAAAAATTAAACGAAAGAGGAAAACCTGTTTTGCAGCAATGAACAGACGATACTTCACTTTATATGTCCTCAAAGTGGCAAATTTATGACGGAGATTTTGGAGTTTTGACGGCTTTTTGAAATCAGCCTGGCTTTGCCCGGTATCTTTTTTCCGTTAACGTTAAGGACACTTTCAAAAAATCGTTACGCAAAAACTAGACAGAGAGGAAAACGCGTTATACATAACTTTATATACCCTAAAATATACAAATTCACGACGCAGTTTTGAAAGTTTGTAGAAAGTTGCGAATTAAAAACAATATTTAATAAATGTCTGTCCTTGCCGATCTTTAGCTCTAAACCGCCCTACGATCACTGTCGAGTCTACTTTGTTGCCTTCCGGCCTGCCTGGATATTGGAAGAGCGCCAACAGATAAAAATAACCCTTTTAAATCCGTATCTGGCTGTATGGACTGCCATTCAAGTACCCTCATTGTTTTTCAATTATCATTATTCGTTGTGCTAAATCAAAATCCACTTACTACCACTTTACAATGTGTGCAATATGAGAATCGCGTTATCGGAAACCGTAAATGATGCCAAGTTGGTTATATGCGGAAAAAGTTGGGCAATAATAGACTTCAAAATGAGAACTTTAAAATTTTCAATTTGAACTATGCAACGTGAAGTTTCCAACACGGTTTTAAACTTAAACCCTCTTTAACAAAATTTACCTCCTAACGTCCGAGTTCTCCGCTTGCTCTTCTCGGAGCGATCGGGCAAAAGGAACAGCTTGCAGTAGGGATTTCGCGCCTGTTGTTCTGATCTGGGCCTCAGACCGGTAGCGCAGACTATCGTAACGAACAGTTGCAAAGTGGCCGTATCGAACCCTAGTCGGATCTGCGACGAAACAAAGTTTAGCAGAATAGCAGGCGTTCTTTCCAGTTGAGTCTTAGCTGTTGGTTACCTGGACTCGTCCGCCCACACTGGTGGGCCCTTGGCCTAAAACAGGGGCTTCGTGTCGATCGGGGCTCCCAGGCGAAGTTACCAAAACGTGTGGACGCTCGTATATTTCACTGTCCGGCCACGACACGTTGGGCTGACCTGCGAAGATTAAAACCCCAATTTACACTCAAAACCCCCATATTTTGGTTCTTAATAGAGTGAATCGATCATCGAGTTTTGCATAGTCATTGTCATCAAAGTGATCAGAATAGCAATTTGCTGGCGTAGGAAAATTTGGGAGGCACCAAAACACAGTTTTTCGGTTTCCACTTGAAAAGTTTCAGCCGAATTTTGGGGCAAAATGCGGATGAATCCAGCAATTTATTGATTTGCGTAAAAACTTGGCATTCTTGGAGTGACTCCAGGTCTGAGAGTTTCGCCCCGTCATCGTCGCGTTTTTCCCCTTTAAATGGAGGCTTTGTATGTTCCATCATGTTTGCCAACAAAACGTCTAGACTTCTTAAATTGGCGAAAATCTTGGGCGTTTGTCCAGATTTTGCAGCTTTTCCGCTAGAGTACACAGCGGAACCGAGATGTAACTTATTCATTTAACTGAAAAGGAAATTTTAAGAGGCCAGTAACTGGAAATTCTAACTAATCTTCAGTAGCTGCAGGAGCAACGTGCAGTTGCCATAAGATTAAACCACTAAGCCATATTTATGTTGAACTGAATGGCAAAAGCCTACATTTTTCCTAATAGCCAACGTTACCACCTCAGAGGGGGGTTGATTGGGGGCGCAGCCCCAAAAGGCCCATCACTTGCACCTAAGCTCAGAAATGAGATGGACTTCTTCTGAGGAATTTCAGATCTTTCCAAACTCTTTTTCTAGCAACTTCAGCAGGTATGAGGTATCCTCTTGGTATCCGGTTATTCTTGCCCCATTTCATTTTGGTAAAGAAGACTGAAGATGTTCCAATAAGGACTCAGTCTTCATAATTTTCTATTGCTTCTTATTCAATGCAAGCCAAGACTAAACTTTAAAGTCTCATTATCATTGCAGGACTCTACTACAGCTTGACCAATCAAAGCCCCTGTTATCCATTGATACTCCTCAGTTTCTCCATTGTTTCCATTAATTCTTCAATGAATAAGTTCATAGTATTCTTCAACGCTTCTTCAAATAATAGGCTTAATTTAACCAAAGATTGAATTTGTCTTCGGAGATTCATAGCGCAAGCAAAACGCTCTTGCCTCTTTGGGCAACAAGGGGATCAACTAAAGGAAGACTTGACTTTTCTTGAAAATTTCCTAGCGTTTAATGAAGAAATTCCTGTGCAGGCTCGTTCTCTAGTAACGTATCTTCGGAAGTTTTTGCATGGAAGAATAGTTCCAGCTTTCGTAGCTTCATTTCGTTTCGGACAAGAAGAGTGAAGATGTTACAATCCGTGCTGAACCTCCTCTTCATAGTCCTCAGTTGCTTCTGCGTTCACACAAGCTAAGGTTGCACTTCAAAGAATCAACACAACTAAGGGTTTGGAAGCTCCTGTTGCTTCAAAATCTTCAAATTTATGTAGTCTTAAAGAAATCAAGAAGTACTTAACTCGTCTTCCATTTTATTCCTGAAAAATTTGAACCATCCAATGAAGAAATTCAGCGTCTGCTCAATCTTTCTTTTGTAGTTTTCATTTGCTTCTGAGTGCATACAAGCTAAATTTGCACATTAACTACCTAACAACACTGTGAAATCTGCTGCAGCTTGAAACCTTCTTGAGCATTCTTAGCTTCTGCTGTTGTCTTTTTATCTTCTTCAAGATCTTCAAACTTTTCACCGATTCTTCATTGAATATATATTCAAAATATGCTTAAATGTTTTAATTTAAGCTTAACTTACAAACATCGAGCTTATCTTCAAGTAGATATCGAATAAGCGAAACCTTGTTTCTTCAGAACAGGGGCGGATCCAGCTTTTAAGTCAGGGGGGGGGGGTTACGTAGAAAAAATACAGTCTTCTGTTGTTTATGAAATTAGAAAAATGATCGTCGTTTTGTGCAAGGGTGGCGCAAGGTTATTGCAAAATTTGATGTTTTCCGTCCCGTTTTGCATGTTTCTCAGAAGCAAAATGAGCAAGAACGCTCATTTGTACATCATTCTAGAGAGAAATAAATGGCCTTTTTAGAAAGTTAACCATGGATCTGAAAATGTTGGCAGTTTTCTCAAAAAATGCTTGAATTCAAGAAGTTTTAGAATTGCGTGGTTTTCTTTGAGTTGCAAAATCCACTTGAACATGACGCTATTTTTTTCGAAGTTTCTCAAGAACCATTTGAGCCACAGAATTCGTTTTGGCATCAGTGGATAGAGAATTGAAAAGTCGATTCAGTCGTAACAACGAGAGTGAGGAAGTTCGAGTAGTTTTGACTCAGACAGCGAAATTTGAATATCAGACACTTAGGTGCAAGATTATGCCAACATTTCATATTTTCCGTCCCGTTTTGGCTCATTTCTCGGAGGCAAAATAAGCAAGAACGCTCATTTGTACATCATTCTAGAGAGAAATAAATGGCCTTTTTAGGAAGTGAACCATCGATAAGAAAATGTTGGCAGTTTTCTCAAAAAATGCTTGAATTCAAGAAGTTTTAGATTTGCGTGGTTTTTTTTTGAGTTGCAA